GGGAGGGTGCCTTTCTTGGTGTGTGGAGAGCAGCCCTTGTTGCTGTCTCGTCTCTGCAGCGGGGTGATGCTGCGGGGCTCAGGCATCCAGTGGGACCTGCGGAAGACCCAGCCCTATGACGTCTATGACCAGGTGGACTTTGATGTTCCAATCGGCTCCCGAGGGGACTGCTATGACAGGTGAGACCCAGGTCCTCCTCTAGCGCACGGTCCAGCTGCTTTCTTTCCTGTGTGTGTGAGTGCTTTTCAGAGCACTCTCCTGTGACGCCTTGTTTTGCCCTGGCGGTGTCCTTCTGTCTTAGAACTAGTGTGGGCTGCATCTGATCGCTGAGGAAGCGAGGCATGAAGGGCAGAGAAGAGCCCAGGATTATTCCGTTAGAGTTGAGACTAGACTCCTGACCCAGGTTCTTTCCACTAGATCCTCAGTTTCGCATCTCGTTCCTGTGTACTGACCCTGAGTGAGGCTTCCTGTTGCTTTTGAGTCTGTCTGACTCTCACCCATTCTGTACTCCAGGGCGTGTGTAAGATGGTGATTAAAGAGGGAAATGCTACTGGACAGGGTCTGAGAAAATTAGGAGGGGACTTGGGGACAGGCCCAGTACCAGAACCGGAAGACTGCAGGCTTGCTGTGGTGGCCAGGCCACGCCCAGGTGCTCGGCTAGGAGAGGAGTGAGGGAATCCCAGTGCTTTTCAGGTCGGAGCCTCTGCTCAGGGCTCTCTCATCTCCTTCAGGTACCTGTGCCGGGTGGAGGAGATGCGCCAGTCCCTTCGAATCATCTCTCAGTGTCTGAACAAGATGCCTCCTGGGGAGATCAAGGTTGATGATGCCAAAGTGTCTCCGCCCAAGCGAGCCGAGATGAAGGTAGCTGCAGGGCGAGGAGGGGAGGTCCCACAGGGCAAGCGAGAGGATCCTGGGATTCAGTCCGTTTGCAGAGAGCTCACTGTATGAGAGCCTCCAGCTCCTGTGGCCCCCTGTCCTCTGTCTTCTCTGAGGGGAGAGGCTGCTTCCTGTGCCGGCGTGGCGAGTGCGGCTGTGGGTCTGGGGTATTGATGCTCCTCTCTCCCTCCAGACGTCTATGGAGTCCCTGATCCATCACTTTAAGTTGTACACTGAGGGCTACCAGGTTCCTCCGGGGGCCACATACACAGCCATTGAGGCTCCTAAGGTGAGAGGAGGGGAGGGAAACCTTGGGGAGGAGTGGGCGGTTGGAGACATGTTGGTGAGGGTGTGGGTGACGAGAGGGTCAGCTGGCGAGGAGCAGCTCCTTTCTGCTGGTGGCAGCCGTCTCCTTCCTCCTCGGGCAGGGAGAGTTTGGGGTGTACCTGGTGTCTGATGGCAGCAGCCGCCCTTATCGATGCAAGATCAAGGCTCCTGGTTTTGCTCACCTGGTAAGAACCAGTCCCGATGATTCTGACTCCACTATGGTTGCCCTTGGTTGAGATTTCTGTGAACTTCCCTCTCGTCTACCCTGATAGCCTTGCTAACGCTGTTGCTCCCTCCATTTGCAGGCTGGTTTGGACAAGATGTCTAAAGGACACATGCTGGCAGACGTCGTTGCCATCATAGGTACGAGGCTGTTGTGTAGACAGAGGCACTGGGCCCCTATGTGGGGACAGAATCTGGACACTTCCTGTTCCGCAGAGACTCGGGGTGTGGACTCCGATCCTCAGTCTCTGGGTCCTGGGTGACAGCACTTTCTCCTCCCGGCCTCCTAGGCACCCAGGACATTGTGTTTGGCGAAGTCGACCGGTGAGCAGGACAGCAGCACTTCATCTCCCTGCCTCTCGACTCATTGGAAGTGGGCTGTGTGTGTGCACGACACTCAGCTGTTAGGCTTTCTGTGCGTGTTCTAGAAAAGAAAGGAATAAATTAGCCGCCTCTGGCCCCTATGCCAAAGCCTCTTATGTCTTAGTATCTCACTGTCTTTCATTTTCATGGGAAACTTGAGTGTTTGTTAACCTTGTACTTCTCTGTTAGATTCCGTTCTTAGCAGTTTTTCCTGTTCCTCTCCGCCCCTTCTCTGACTCTTGTCCTTTCCACTTCTCCATTCCCCGTTTCCTCTTTTCCCTCAGCGCCCCCCGCCCAGACCTTGGTGCCCACACAGACCAGTACCCCTCGAATCAGGGCTGGGGACGTTCCCGGTGGAGAGGAAAGGGCTCGCATGGGTCCTAGGGAGCCAGGTGGCGGTTCTCCCAGGTGTGTCTCTTGAGCAGGGCTGTGTGGGAAGGGGGTGACTTGGTCTTGCCCAGCATGGGAGTCCCCTCCTGTGGAGGCAGAGCCCCAGTCACTGGACGCCTGAGGCGGAAGGGCCCAGACCGCTCTGCTCCCTTAGTTGGCCCTTCCGGGAGCCGCCTGGTTTCTAGCGCAGGAAGGGGAAGGGGCCAGAGCTGGGGGAGGCGTGGCAGGAAGGGGGGAACTCTGTGGTCAGGGAGCTGCTCACCAGCACAGCTGCGCCGGCCCTCAGCTGCGCTCCGCGTGCTGCCCCTCCGCCCGCCCAAGATGATTCCCACGGCGCTCCTGCTCGCACTCCTTTTGGTTGGACAAGCAGGTGAGGGCTTGCTGAGGGACAGTGAGCTAGACTCCCAGGTGGGAGTCAAGGGCATATGGGCAGGCGAGGCAGGGACCCCTGGGGGGGGGGCAGTAGTGGGCAGCTGGGCACAGGGACTCAGGCTGGGCCTGTATGGTTCCATCCGGGCACAAAAGTCAGTTTCCTCCTTCCTTGTCCCCATCTTAGGATGGACAGGCACCCCGGGGCTGCAGCTGGCAGGGAGGGAGGGTGTGACACACAAAATGGGCTGGTTTCCTGTGGGGCCTTTGGTCTTGTCCAGGAGGAGCTGGCCTCCAGCTGCCTAAGTGGTATCTGTCAGGTGCCTGTGGGAGGGAGGCCAGGCCTCGTGCGTGGGAGAGAGGCCAGGCCAGCCAAGCAGATGTGATTGCTGCTTCCGTGTGTCATGGCCGACAGGCACCTCCCGGCAGCCGCAGCGGAGGGTGGGCAGTGTGAGCATCTAGAGACCTGAGCCTCCTTGGGGAACCGGGCAGGAATGGGAAAGGCTCCGTGGTCAGTTTATGAACTCTGGCCTCTCCCTCTCAGGGTTGTCTTGTGTGAATGTTTACAAGATGGTTGGTTGTGGCTGCCGTTTGGGGGGGAACAGGGTTAGTGAAACTGAAGGGAATTTGGGGAAATTGAAAGATGGAAGGAAGGTTGCACCAACCCAGCTATGAAGGTGGAAGGGTCTGAGAGCAGCCGGGCGATGGGAGCGCCGCTGAGGCCTGGGGAGGGCACCGGCTGAGGGCGGAAAGCTCGGCTTTGCTGCCAGTGTCCTGACTGTGCCCTGAGGGAGCTGCTTCGCTTCCTTGGGCCTTGGTTTCGTCAGCGGTGAGATGGCGACTGCGTTTCCCAAACAGGGCAGCCTTGAGATTTGTGCAACAGGGAGTGTGAAAGACGTCTTCGCAGAATAAAAGTCACAGCCCGGGAGCCCATGTGACAGCGGCCAGGGTGATGGGGCAGATAGGAGCTCAGACCCTATTTTACTTCTTTAATTGCACAAACTTCCTCTCAGTGGCCAGGGTGTGAGGAACAGGGTAGAGTCCCACAGAGACACCCCGTCCCCGAGACGGAATCTCAGCAGGGCCTTCCCTGGGGGACTGTGCCGGGCGGGGCATCCCTGAGCCGGGGAAGCAGCTGCCTGGCTTTTACATGCCCAAGTGTCTGGTGGGCAGAGCAGCGTGCGCCGAGGCCAGATGACCAACAGCAGTAATGGCCTTCCCGCCCTTCCCCAGCTCACACCCTTCCTGTCCAGCTCTCAGCCACAGGTCACAGGACTGAGCAGAGACACTGCTGTGGTTTCTTCACTGACATTTGTCACTGCCTTCCCCGCGCCCTGCCCTCCAGGCTGAGGTTTTGGTTTTTGCCCAGTGAACTCAGATGAGTCCCTTGAGGGCTATGAAGTGCTCAGCCAAGCCTGAGGAGCCCCAGTGCTCGCAGGAAAGTCTGGGGCTGAGGAGAGGAATCCAGAGAAAGAGCGAGCTTCCCTGCAGAGCACCCTCAGGCCCGGCCTCCCTCCCAGGGCCCTCCCTTCCCTGACGCCCTCCCCATGGGCACCCTCTCTCCCCTCAGAGGCCCTGGGAGAGCCTCAGATCTGCTACATCCTGGATGCAATCCTGTTTCTGTACGGGATCATCCTAACCCTGCTCTACTGTCGACTCAAGGTGAGGCTGGGCAGGTGGGTGGGGCAGTGGTGGCAGCATGGCTTTGAGGAGAAACCCACCAAATTTGGAGGGAAGGGGGATGGGCCACTAACATTGCTCTTACTAATGACCTTCCTCTACTCCAGATACAGGTGCGAAAGGCAGCTGTAGCCTATCAGGTATGGAACCCCCTCCCCACACCCGGGTATCAACAATTTTGCAGACTCAGCCCTTCTGGGCTATAGCCTTGGGGTCTGCAGCCCCTGGGAGGTGAATCTCAGGTGTTGACCTGCATAAGCTTCAGAGACCCACTTCCCACCTCACCCTACCCACCCTGCCACCCAGCCAAGTCACGGGTGACAAGTCCCACCCCTGGCTGATATGTCCCTGGATGCGGAAGAAGATGCTGGGGGGCCCTGGAGGATGTGTGGGTCTCTGACAAGTTGCTCCTTTGCCTCCACAGAAGTCAGATGGCATTTACACGGTGAGTGAGTTGGCCCCGCCCACCCCCAATCCCAGGACGTCAGCAGAGGAGGGTGGATTTTGAGTGACTTTTGGAAGGGCAGGGTCTGTGGGGGTTAGTGGGAGCCGTGGAGGGACTCAAGCTCCTGACTGTCCTCTGACCTTCACCTCCAGGGCCTGAGCCCCCGGAACCAGGAGACTTATGAGACCCTGAAGCATCAGAAACCAACAGAGTAACTAGAACAGATGCCCTTGGTCACGTCCTCCTTCTGCTCCAGTTCCCGCCCAGTCCCATGGTTGACACCACATATGCCTCCCGCCATTAATGCCCACAGACCTCCCCTGTAAAGACGCTATGCCCCCATGAATGGACCCATTGGTTCCTCCTCCCTGCCCAAGGCCTGTGCTCAGATCCTGCTCATTAATGTGCGTATTCTAGTCTCCCCTGACCTCCCCCTCCTTCCCTACACCCAGCTCCCCCAACCGCCCCCCTCCTCCCTCCTCCCAGTTCCCACCAGGCAATGGGACAGGAGCAGCACCAATAAAGCTGCCTCAGACTGGGCTCCACTCCTTGCTTCCTTCCTCGGACACGTAGCCTCTGCAAGGCTCTGGCTGGGACTGCAGAGCCAGTGGGAGCAAGGCAGAGGCCCACGCCTGACTCCCAGAGCTCAGTGTCCAACGCCAGGCTGTTTTGCTCAACTGAAGGGCAAATGCTGCTGTGAGGGGACAAAGGAGACCCCTGGCCCCAGGCCTCTAGTTTGAGCAGGAGCAGGGTCTTCCGTGTTGGGATTCTGGGCACATTCAGAGACATTTGAACCTAAGAAGTGACTTCTGGGCTGTGGGAAAGCCTGGCTGCCCAGCCTCAGAGAGTGACCAATCCAATCACAGTGGGGTCAGAGTCTGTGGGACAGCTCAGGGTCCATGGCGCAGCCTGGCCAAAAGCCCAGCGTCAGGAGGGGCGATGTGAGGAAGGCTCTGCCGCTCCTCAGGGAAGGTTGCAGGGGACAGTGGGTTCTCAGCAGGTCCTGGGGCAAGAGGGGCCTTAGTGGAACAGGGAGGGATCGGATGTGGGCAAGACAAGGGACAAGTTGGGTCCTGATGGGGCCGGGAGCTCCTTGAATGCGTAGGTGGGCGGTGAAGGAACCCCCTCAGGCCTGTGCAGTTTCCAGCAGGAGGCCGGATTCCCAGGAAGTATGTTGTTGTTTTCAGAGAGAGAGAAGCATCAGTTGCCTGTATGTGCCCTGACCCCAGGGATCGAATCTGCAGCCCAGGTACATGCCCTTGACTGGGAATTGAGCCCGTGACCCTTTAGTGCATGGGCTGGCGCTCTAACAACTGAGAACACTGATCAGGGGTTCTTTCTTTCTTTGAGAGAGAGAGAAAGAGAAACATTGATCGGTTGCCCCTGGGTATGTGCCCTAAGAAACCCTCCACCTTCCAGCATATGGGATGATGCTCCAACCAACAGGGCCACACCAGCCAGGGCTGGAAGTCTTTGCATCCCATCTGCTGTGGCCGGTCCTGCCCCAGACCCAGCAGCCCTCTCAGATGGGTCTCTGCTCGGTGCCCAGGCCACCCAGGCTGGGCAGTTCTTTCCTCTCACAGTGACTCACACTTGTCAATGCATTTTTCCAACTCCTTGTACCACCTGCTCTGCTCACTAACCCTGTGAGTATCCAGCTCTTTGTAGTTTCACCTGTCAAGTTAAACTAGGTTGTCCTACAAGTGACAGACTTCGGTCTGTCCCTGTACACTTTAGCACAGGAGACACCCCAGGTCCTGGGAAAGAAGGGGAGGAAGGGGGGGGCCATGAGGGCTGAGGGTCAGCAATACGCAGAAGAAACTGGAGCCTCACCTGAAGGCAATTTCAGATGGGACATGGGAAATGCGCCGGGGAGGGGAAGCACCTGTCTGACCTAAGAGGTCAGGTGGGCATACGTTTCCGACAATGCCTCCGTTTCCCTCGCCTTGCACACCCACCCAGCCCGCTTTCTGTTCTGCTGGGATTTAATCCAGGCATCATGGCTCCCAGCATCTCTAGTCCCACATGTCCACCCAACGGGAGCTTGCCAGGCCTTGAACTGGCTGTGGTGTCTGCTGGTTCCAGGCTCTCCAATGGCCGCTGGGCCAGGCCTGTGACAGCACCCAGATAAGAGAGGAGGGTGTGGAAAGGTGTCCCCAGATAGGGGTCCAGGTGAGAGCAGTGTGGGGAGAGTGAGGCACACC